ACCAACCGACTGACTTTGATAGATTTGCCATTATGATTTGGAGCATATGCAACAAAATAGGCCATGCAGGACCCTGACAACCTTATCCAGCATGTTCCACCTATTGAACCTAGTCTAATGAAAAGCACTGAAGTGCAAACCCTCGGCGCACTGCGCATATGCACGGTACTGTGATGGCTTTGGTATATGTGTGCATTTCTCCACGCTATAGCGCACAGAAGTCTGGACACAGTGCTAGCTACACTAGTAGATAGCATGCAGGAGTCGATACATGCATTAGTTGTGACTACTTTAGCCTCCAAGGTACACAAGCGAGCAGATTATAGCCCAGGACGATATGCAATTAGCCTATGAACCTGTCTAATGAAAAGCACTGAAGTGCAAACCCTCGGCGCACTGCGCATAGCACGGTAAGTGTGTGCTAATTGATGTTGCTTTGGGTATATAGTGTCCATATTCTCAAGTTTTAGTGGTTTGTTTGTTTCTCTCAGTTCACTAATCACACTTGTTGCCTAGAGTAACAGAACAATAGAAAAGTGTATCATAATAATTATGTAGACACTTATCCTCAATTAGTTCAGCTGTCTTGGCCTTCCCTGCACCTGGACTGTCAAACTGTTAGCAAACACCCCTCATCAGGAGCATCAAGTGTTTGTGGCTATCGATGGCCGCCCAGGTAGTGCTGGCCATGCCGCCTAGCACAGACAGCACTGGAGCGTTTTGGTTTAGTACAGCGAGGCTTATAGGCGTATGAAACCTACTATTGCTATTGCTATTGCTATTGCTATTGCTATTGCTATTGCTATTGCTATTGCTATTGCTATTGCTATTGCTTGCTCTGTGAAGTTGTAGGTTGATTGTTTGAAACAACGCTCCTGCACACCATGGCTTGCTTTACACATAGTAACAGTAGTGTGGCTCGATTGCATTCCTTGTGGCCACTGGAACCTCCATACTTTCTATATGGGACATACATGTAACTTTGTTAGCGAGCGTCAGACGTAAACACAGGCTGGCTCTACGGAACCTTACGTGCTTTGAACATCTGGTTTTTGGCCGTATGTTTAGCGGAGTTACGGCGGATTTCCCGACTGTAAGGGGCGTGTATTGCCTTCGCAGCTACCAAGTATGTGTAGCTAGCTCCTGTCTCACTCTCCACGAGCATGCAAGAGACCACGAGTACGGTGGTATAACCCAGCCCATCAATTAGTGGTACCGCGCATGCGTTTACCTGTGTGTAGTGCACCGAGGGTGTGCACTTCAGTGCATTATTTTGTAATTATAATCACAGATGCGAACAAAAACACATGTATGGTGTTGAATTACACTATGGTGTTTTTGCCTAAGAAAACAGACCATCAATTACTACATTATTTGCATACTTGCTTGAAGAACTAAAGTGCATATCCTCTGGAAACTGTGCATGCACAATATTGCTAATTGATGGGCTGGGCTATGTGTATGCATTTACTTGTGGTCTCCCGCTATTAGCTCGCGGAGAGTCTGACATGGGCTAGCTAGTTGTAGATAGCATGCCATTCGTTGTGACTTCTTATGCCTTCAAGGTACACAGAGCGAGCGGATCAGGCCGCAGTAAGCCCAGTGCAATTATGCATATTGGCTTTTTCGCTTGTTTTCACGGCATATCTCCCGAACGCAGTCGTTTCAGGAAATCACCCTTTTATTTTTCAGGCTCGCGTAGTTCTGAAGCCGCTGGTGTCACTAATAGGCCGCCTCGTAGCCTGTAGTACCAGAATAAGCGTCGACACACAGACAGAGAGACAGACAGACAGACAGACAGACAAACCAACTACTGTAACCCTCGCTGTGCATGCGCGCCGAGGGTTAATAATTCTGGGTAACTTTAGGCTAAGTATACCTTTAACTCCTACATTTCAGATCCAACAGCAATCTTGAGAGAAGCCTTGAAGGATAGCTCCCTCAGTCCAGACTGCGTGCCCCATCCTCTCACTACTGACCAGAAGATGTGGCTCCCCACTCCTCCAGAAGGTAAGGAAGTCTTCACCATATTATGTATGTACTGGATGAGAACTAAATGAACTTGTGCAGCATCTGGTCAAGGCAAAAAGGAAAAGAAATCCAAGAAGAAGGCTGTAACGACCCCTCCTCTAACAAGTATGCCTCTATTCTCTATACAACACTTCTGTACATTCTGAAAATACATGACATTGCTATTCAAATGTATATTACTTGTTTTCCTGTCTCCTCCAGTCTCAGATGTAGTGCCTACAATGCCACAATTGATCAAGATTAAATTGCCCTCACGAGTTGGGCCCAAAGTGAGTGCATTTGGTACCATTCTTCTCAAAGATGACCTCGGGAACAAGATGGCCAACATCAGAAAGAGGTTACGTGAAGACCCAGAGGAAATGGTAATGGAGGTTCTGAGGGAGTGGCTGGCAGGGAAGGGGGTGGAGGTGTCGTGGGAGAGCCTCATAGCAACTCTGAGAGACTGCGAACTTTCACTTATGGCCGACCAGATACAGATGGCACTGGACCAACTAAGATCTTGATGCATTGTGCTCCTAAATTTTCATGTTGACAATGTATTATGTTTTTGTAAATTATTTTTTATAATGGATTTTGTATCACTCCTTGTTTTTTGTCTCATCTTTTTTGACATGGTTGGCCTGACATGAAAATTACATTAGTGTGTGATATGGTTCTACATGAATTTTTTTACTTTTTACTCCGCGCACATTCCAAGTATCCGAAGGTGGCAGACTTCCGTATATTATAGGCCCAACGGTTCGATCGACAAAACGCATGCGCAATATAAATCCGCGCATCTCCGTATACTAGAAAAGTAGACCTCGCCCACCGTTCCGGATATCCCAGCGAGCGTGGGGCTCAGGTTCGTCTCTCCGCCATTTCTCTCTCCCCGCCCCGTATCCATGCACGCTCTCTCTCCTCACCCCGCCAGCCAGGCTCCATCTTTAGCTTCCCCACTCGTCCTCGTATCGAGAGCAAAGAAGAGCAGCAGTAATGGTCGTCGCTGCAGCTACTCGTGTGGTCTGTCTGTCGGTGCTGTGTCTGTGTGAGAAATCAACAAAACCAGGAAATAACTTTACAATTACCACTGGTTGCATGTTCTGTAGGTCTACTCTCTATGCAATTTAGTAGATGCTTATTGCTACACGTAGCGTAATGTCCAGATGAGATGAAATGGCTATTATTGAAAGCTTTGTAATCAACTTCATCTTGTCCTATAGTCTCTCTATGCATACTGCTACCATCCCCCCTACACCTCTCTCCACAGGTCATGCAGAGTGTGTGGACTTCATCCGTCGCTACAACCTCCCTCTCCTGCTCCTCGGAGGAGGTGGCTACACCATCAGGAACGTGGCCCGCTGCTGGACCTACGAGACTGCCGTCGCTCTCAACTGTGACATCGCCAATGGTACTCTCCATTCAGTACACGTCTAAAAAGCTATGCGGAGTGTACGACTCCACTTTTACACCCTACTACATTGTACGGTACCAGTCCAAAAAAATGCACCGTAGTTGTGTTACAACTCCAAAACTTAAAGGTGTTGCTATTGTATTGTACTCAGTGCTTGCATGAAGTTTTGGCCTTTTACGACCGGTACACATGTGGCGCTGGTTGGTTTAACCACTGTAGTAACATTACGTACAATCCTTGCTGTATGCTGTAGTGTTGCTACATAAGTGCATGTTATCACTGTAGGACGTGTAGCTACACCTCTCTGTACATTGTATGCACCTACTGTACATGGTTAATACATAGGTACGTACGTAG